GTCCTGCCCAGCATGCCCTGCACGTCGCAGACGAAGCGGTACACGTAGCGCTTGCCGCCGGTCTTGTGGATGATGTTCTTGTGGTAGTAGTACCGCAGGCCCCGGCTCAGCTTCTCGTAGTTCATCTTGGGCTTGTTCTTGCACCGACCCCAGCGTCTGGCAACCTGGCACGCAGGAGGGACGGAGTACGTTAGCTATGGCGAGCACGGCGTCGCACAATAATAATAATAATAATAATAATAATAATAATAATAATAATACTTCCAGTGAGGTAAAGCAAGCTCTTGCTAACGCCTGTGATGAGACCAGGGGTATGCAACAACAGGGCGACTCTAGAATACTTTCACAAAGTTCACGATTTTGTGCTTAATTTGGAACTTTGTTAAGTTTTTGCTATACCGTCTGTTGTTACCGAGATTTAATAACATGTCTGAGAAACTGGGTCTGCAGTTCCCCTCTAAAACGGTCATGATATATGAAGCATGCTGTCTGTGTGGAGTTTGCGTGTTCCCATTGTGTTTCCGTTTAGGTTCTCCAGTTTCCCCCCATAGTGCGAAGACACGCTGGTAGGTGAATTGGCTTCTGTGTGTGTGTGTGTGTGTGTGTGTGTGTGTGTGTTTGTGTGTGTTTGTGTGTGTGTGTGTGTCTCTGGCTGCCCTGAGATGCAAACAGGCGTGTTCACCCAGCTGTCTCACCTCTGTAGGGTCGGAGAGCTTGAACTCCCAGCCGTCTCCTGTCCAGCTGATGAAACTCTGACACGACTCGTCCAGGAGAAGTTCCAGCAGGAACTGCCAGAGCTGCATGGGCCCGGAGCCTGCGATGTGACAAGCAGCTTTCATGAGACCGCATGTTAGCTTCCAGAGTTACATGTAAAGGCTTAGAAAAGTACAATATTGTGAGATAGAAAAAAAAAACATTTCTCTTTTGGCACATTTGCTGTTGAAAGAAAGGCAAGTTCCAGCAGTGTCTCCCAGAATTGTCTGTGGAAGATGGGATGTGAGAGTGGTTTATTTTTATTAATATATGGCTTTAAATAATATGCAAATATATCCTCACACTAAAGCTTTTGGTATGTAATTTAGATCAGCGTGTAGGGGCTTGGAAACAACAATGTTACACCATATCCTACAAGTGAGACTCTTGTGTACAAATTGAGGGCTTCGCTATTGCATCTATTGCATACTGCACTCTGTCAGTGGTGAGGGTTTTCAACAGGCCCCTGAACTACATTAACACATGCATCTGAATTGACATTATTGCTTAATGTTGCTGCTTGACTCTTTTTTTACAAAAAGCGCAGCTCTAGAAAAGCTCCCTGATTTCAAGGTACTTGGATATTGTTTCAAGCAACCAGGTTTCTCCAACTGCTTAAGAACTGGTCACGTTATGGAAAGGTCAAAGTGACCAGAACAGGGTTCAATTCAAAATGTAATTAATATAGAATGTACCCGTCCAAATCTGCTAATAATGAATCACTAATAACTTGATTCATTGGGACTCATTTTATTAAGCCCTTAAAGTGAAAGATTAACTGAAGAAAGAATATAAAAAGTGCATTTCTTAGCATGATTACTCTGATCATTAAACTCTTAGAAAAAGAGTTTAATTTAGTCTCACACCTGACAGGTGGACTAGGGAGATTTCTCATCTTGTACAGCTGGGCTGTCCGCTAGTTTCGGAGCGACGCTCACCGGTATAAGCTACGATTCCCGCTGCCTGGCGAGTTTCGGTCCCAGCCCTCTGAGAGGCTTGTCTTGGCGTTCTGTGTTTGGCCACACGGTGGCAGCAGCGCTCCGCGGGGAGGGCGGGGGGCGAGGCGTACTCCCTGGGGGGCCGGCCGCTGCTGGGAGGGATAAAATCGCTCCAATGCCGAGGGGGTTCCTGGGGTTCGGATTTGAAAACCAGGCCGCCGTGCGCGTAGCTTGGATCCGGACAACCTGCGGATGTCGAGAGAGGGGACCGTTCGTGAAACGCTGCAAAAGCTATTTCTGGATTTTATTTTTTGTTTCCTGAAGAGTGTTTTTGGGGAGAAAAAAAATGCTTAGTGGGTACAGGCATTTCCGGGCCGTAAGCTGCGGGGGTGCGGGTCTGATTCCCGAAAACGACGGCGCCTTCAGGCTTTGTGAGCAAAGTGTCTTAATTTAACACGGAAGACAGGCTTTTGAAAAAAAAACAACAACAACGCTATTTAAGATGTCAAATCTCTCGCCGTTGCAAGAGAACTGCAAATGAAGTTGCTCAACAACAGCACGTTCTCACGGCACTCCTGTGGATGAGCGAACGGCGGATTCTCTTACCGAGGTGCTCCAAGCTGACTGCGCTGCCCCCTGCCGGCTGGGGCTCTTGCGTCAGAGGCAGATAGTGATTCTGGCCGTCGACGGCGGAAGCGCTGTTCTCGTCCCTCGGAGCCAGGTGCCCTACCGGGAGCAGAGTCTGATAGCTCTGTCCCGAGTGACTGGGCTCCTGGTACACCCCCTGGGCAGGGTCTACTGCAGTCCCGCTGCCTCCTGAAATGGAAACGGTCAGGTTGGTCGCCATGGCGGTAAGAAGGTGAGTCTACACAAGTGGCCTTCATCTTGGTGTTGCTTTTTTCTATCCCTAACCCCCCCCCCCACACACACACACACTATCAAAGCACTGTTTGAAAAGGTGTTGAATACAGTCTGATGCAGGAAGTATTACTGTGACTGCATATAGTTCTAATTGACAGTAGTTGTACTGTGCCATGGACGTCTCCCCTGTATTTCTCCCCTGCACTGGCTTGGCCTTTCCTGGGTGTGTGTCCTACAGTATGCTACTGTGCTGTTTCCCCATGAATTCACTATGATGGGCCGCTGCACAATCACAATTGGGGCTTTCACAATCAGCCCCGAGTTCACTACACAGAACCCCTACTGGACTGCGCTCTGGATACCTAGAGAGCCATCACTGTCTGTCTTCTTCCATATTCCCCACTATGGCCACCAATAGGCGGAGGATGTTGCTCTCTTTCCTCTTTAAGCCATCCCTCCATTATCGCACCCCTTCTTGCAAACTGTGGGCACAAGGCAGGGTGCCCCCTGGACTGGGTACCAGTCACACACACAGTTGCACCTGGGGACAATTTCCCCAGAAGCCAGTTGTCGTACAGGCACACTGCTGTAAAACCAGTATGTCCTTGGGAGTGTGGGAGGAAACCCATATGACCACAGGGAGAACATGCAAACTCCACACAGACAGCAATCCCAGAGCTGCGAGGCAGTGGTGCTGACCAACCACTGAAGTGGGTTTTTGTGTTCCTAACTCACCATTTGTGTGCGCTGTCCAGTACTGCTGGTCGGAGTAGCAGTCCAGATCGAACAGTCCGGAGTCGCTGTAGCCCGCTGAAGAAAAAGAGAGGTTCCATCTGATTTTTGCACACACGCAAAACAATTGGGAATCTAACGTTTCAGAGGAAGATTAACTGCGGCCTGCAAAATGCTGAATGAGAACTTACTGCATAGGTTTTGAATGATTACAGCGGTTGCTCTAAGGACTTGAACCCATTCGCCGTTCGTATTAAAATCGGGGTACACGTACCGAGAAACCCGCAGTATGCTCTGGGCACGGACGGGTTAAGTTACCTTTGGAGCTGTAGAGCCCGAACTCCTTCGGCAGGTCGTCGTACACCTCGGGGAAGCTCTGGTGTCCCGTCACGGTGCTGTCCACCATGAAAGACAGATCGTCTCCGCTGGCATCTGGGAACACGCATACACGTTTCTTAGAGCTGGTCCTGCGCCCGCAAATCGCCCGCGTCCCCCTCTGCCAAAATCAGGACACTTTTTCTTTTGCACACCTCACGAGTTATCTTCCTGACCCCACGTCTAACCTCCAGAAATTCAGTTCGCTTGCTCTCGATCTGATTTGAAAATGTATTTTTCATATCCCTGCGTAGCGTCACTGCAATAAATATTTCAAGCTATGATCGAGGTAATAAAGATAGCGTGCTGTTGTCTCTAGGAAGTGTTCCGTGGAGAATATAGGTGTACCCATTATCCTAATGTTATCCTAATTAATCGAAGGAGATCAGCAGGGCTACAGCAATTGTATTATTGTATTTTTACAATAATAATACAATTACAAAGCAGCTCGGCCCATTACTGCAAAACATCTGACTCTCCGCACTGACAGCGGAGAGGGCAGGATTTGAAGTTCCCAGGATAGGAAGTCCTATTATCGCCGGACCCTGTGAGGAAACGGCCGGTCCAGGAATAAATGGCATAGGACAGGGACAGGAGGAGAAACGACCGTCCGCCTGCGCGTGTCGGAAATCTGCAGGACAGGATTAGGAAGGGGGGGCTCATCTTCGGCCGAGATCCCCTTTTAGCTAAAACGTCAAACAAAAGACCACCGTTTCCGGACGCAGTCCATCCAAACTAAATGACCCGATCTCTCAAGGTCTCCACTGCCCGGAAGCGCGATTAGCGGTGCCTGTTTCAGGAAAGTCAACTTTTGGGAAATTTTGCGCGTTACCCAAACAAGCCCCTGAAAACTGACTGCTGCCCAGCCGCAGAGGCTAATGGGTAATACGGGGGACGGGCAATTTGTGACATTAACTAGGATGTCACAAATTCTAGGAAAGACACTAGAACTAGAAATAACTTTTTTTTAATGAAACAGTTTTGACTCACCCGTTTATTGACGCCAACTTAAAGTGACTGGACCTGTGTCCAATTATTTTTGTTTAAGGTGAACGTTTGTATAATTATTCTGAATAAGTTAGTCAACAGCCACAGATACAAAGGAAGCAGAAAAAAATGCTCGAATTGTAAATAATGGAAACGGGAGCTGTAGCAGCAGAAGTGCAAATTAGGTGTTTGCTGTGGTCACAGAAAAATAATCGATTCGATAGATTGTCACACCATAAGATCCGCAGTCGAACCCGGATGGGACTTCTTGCGATCTGAAGTCTTCGTAGTAATATCCAGCCTGATACATCTCCATCGCGGCGAGTCTGCAAATGAGGGAGACGCGCACATAAGCTGGAGCCGAAAGTAATTAAAGATCTTTCACAACCCGACAGTTTTTTTTATCTTCGAAAAGACAGGTATCCCTCACAGCTTTTAAAAAAAAAAAGTCGCCCCCTTTTTCCCTTTAGTTAATGAAGCCGTTCAGTCCAACCAGGAGCAAACGTGGGTTATTCAAAGTGTCAAGATAACATTTGAGTGTGCTGAATGAAGGCATATCTCCCGGAATAACTTATAGACAACTCGGTTAATAAACCTTTAATCAAAGAGGAAAGGCAACATGCTCTAGTCTCCTTGTGCAAGTTATCAACAGAAATCGCAATGCAATAACGTTTTTTTGATCGTCAGTCTTTTCGTGTGACAACACAATATTTACTTGTCGATTACGTCTACACTTATAGAATGTAAGGCTCGTTTTGTAGTTGAATTTCATAATATGCGCCTCTATTATAGGCACAACTGCCTATTTTATGCCGAAAGGCCTCCAAAGTAACTTATGTTCTGGACAAACTAACTCTTCATAATCCAGTCACAGTCATAGACTGGTTTGTATACCTTTGAAGCAGTTTAATAGCAGCAGCGCGAAGATTTGCCAGAAAATGATTCTTACCTTTTAGCCTTGTTTGGGGAAAAGAAATCCGTTAGTTTCCAAATTCCAGCGCCGCGTTGGGTCAGAGGTTTGTAAACTCCTGTGGTGGTCAGCTAGCTGCCTGTCCGGCTCTGGACAGTTATAAGCGCAGCCGCTGGGGAAGGGCGGGGCTGCAGGTCGGCTGCTTCGTGACTCGCGTCTCAGACCCTCTTAGTGACGTCAGCCAGGAGTCACGAACACCGATTTGATACAGAGGAGCTTGTCCAAGCAGATTTATGATTTATCTATATCTGTAATTCCACTCCGTTAAAAAAAAAAGGAGAAAACCTCTGGAACTTCACTCGCAAACTTCAAGTTGCGAAAAGAAAGATTGAAAATGTATTTCCTGTTTCCTCAACAACCTATAAGGAATTCACAGACTGTTCTAATGACCCACGGCAATAGATTATTTTTAATCCGGCTGTAATTTAAAGTCTCGGTACTTTTCAGATATAATAACCGAATTGGAGAATTTTAGGTGTTTTCCAGCCTACCGGCAGTCAAGTTCTAACTTCTGCAAACATTTTTGGGTTGTATCTGTGTGAGATGGGTGTAATGATGTTTTTTGTAATGGAAAAGATTACAACACCGTTTTTAAAACGTTTTAAAAAGAAATCCAAAATCTTTCAGTTGAGCTTTGCACAGTGCATTTAAGGAACCCCGTTTTGTGCTTGAAAAGGGGGAGCCTTTTTTCCGCTATTGAACAGCAACGGGACTTTTGTGTGAAGGAAATGCAGTAAATTTTCTCAAAGACATTTGGATATTTCCTTGAGGGAAAGCCGATTCGGTGCCAAGTCTCTCTTGTCCGAGCCGTTTAAATCACAGGGGGCACGCGGCGCGTTATTGATTAGCGCCGTTTTCCAGTTCTTATCTGATCTGATCGAAGTGGCCCGGTCTCTCACATTAATGGGTTTTCACGTTTTCGCGAAAAGCGAGCCTGCCGTCATGTCGGGGAGGAATGATTAAAAAAATGCACAACAATGACGGGGAGAACCTTGTTTTATTTGCTAAATTGAATTGATAAACAAAAACACTCTTACAGAAATAGAAATCAGAAGCGGCACGTGTCTGGAAATAAAGAGACTATAAATTAAGCAGGACAAACGGATACCCCTAATTTAATCCTATTTAGAAATAACCACTAGCCAGTGGTATTTGATTTGCATTGCATGCATTTATAATAGTATTACTTAGTGGTGGAAAACATATGTCATGTAATTTGAACAGACGGCCTGTTCTCAGTAAACCACGTAGCTGGCACTGGAAAAGCGTATGAAACTGTCTTTCCACGACTCCATATATATATATATTAATACCTCCCATTCAAGGCTAGAGGAAGCCAGCGGCAGAAAGCCAACTTCGCGGCTTCAAAGCAAGGGAAGTTCGGATGAGTGTTTGTCCCACTGCGGTGTGTCCATGAAGCCCGAGTCGACATCTGGCGGGAGGCGCAGGGCGCACAGGCGGCAGGTTCCCTACTAATCGAGCGAAGGCGCTGCTAAGCGAGGCGCGGGCCAGGGAGATAACAAAGCAGATCGACTGTTTCACCTAAATTCAATTCTTATTTTTATTCATCACTACACAGGCACGCACGCACGCACGCATACGCAAACAGCCGATCAGCCGGGTTCACGGCTTGACCACTAATAAGGACATTAACGCCTCGTGACCTTATCTTTCGCGGCTTTTGGGGGTTTTTGTGGCTTCGAAGCGCGTTGTGGGAGAAGCGCATCTGCAGCAGCTCGACTTCTCCTGAATACGGCACGACCGTCCTGTGTCGTATCGTCACCTACGCAACTGTAGGTTTTTGTGCTCGGGGGACAGGACACCATGCACTCATGGTCTGGGCTCTTCGCTGGCATACTTTGTCCACAACCGCAAAAGCCGAGATTTTCGTCAGCTCTAATTTTATAATTCCACCAGTGTTACGCAGAGTTGCAGAGTAATTACTGCTACCGATACTAATCACCAATCCAATAGTATTATTATTATTATTATTATTATTATTATTATTATTATTTATTAATAATAATTTATATCCTATATAATGCTTTGCGTTTCTCGTTGTAGTACTTTCGATAGGAAGTCAATTTCTCCTGCTCGCGTTTTCCAACCCGTCCCTTCGCGTTCGTGATCTTCTGTAAAGGAAGGTCAAGCCAGTCCTGTTCGTACAAATAGCGCTCAGTCAGCACTCGGGGAACTCGAGCAGTTTGCGAGATTTTTTTTTCACCCCTGCGTGGTCCCCAAACAGGCTGATATAAAGACGGCAGAATTAAACGCTTTTATTATTAGAATCAACAAGCAGTATATACGTCGCTTAAAGGCAGACAGTTCAGCCACGTAATCTATAATTCACTGTTGATGAATGTGCGCAGTATCGTATATACTGAAAGTTTAAAATTAGTGCTGTTTATTATGCATTAATGTCTCTTTGAGAGGTGTACAGTACTAATTGAATGGACATTTCGTACAGCTATACACCAATGTGAATAATAAATTATTATTATGTTTTATGATACATTTCATTTAATATAAAGTGGTTACACAATATCCTATAATTGCCTATAGAAACTGCGAATTGTTTCAAATTAGTTAAAATCCAGACGGAAATCAATAATACGTGCACTCGGAACTGCGGGTTTACTGCCAAAACTTTTCGGATTTAATTCCTGGGGCATCCGGTAAATAGTTATTAGTAAAATAATGTTATACGGTAGATCTAACGTGAAAGTTGTTTGCCAAAACACAGATTAAACAGTACCAGACTTTTTTTGTGCCTTTTGAAAAACATTGAGTTTATTTTGGGCCTTTTTTAAAAGAAACTGGCGTCGATGTTGTTTTTTTCAAATCGTGCTTTCAGATTGAACAACAAAGACTCCCGAAACGTACGCCGTGTGGAACTCGCCTTAATTAGACCGCACTGTTTGTGTTTTCGTGGGTTTGTCTGCGCAACGAGAGCGGCCCAAGAGGGTCATTCTCAGACAATGGGCTGTTAAAAAGTCCGAAATCACAGCGTGAGTGGCGAGCGCAGATAAGGGCGATGGCAAGCCCTTTTATAAACAAACAGCTTGTTTCTCCTCCGCGGAAAATCACATCTGGCAAAGCCGAGCGGCCGGCTCGAGTCGTGATTGAGACCCGACAGACACTTCGAGAGTCAAGTTACAGCCCAGCCTGATTTATTCCTCAGGCTTCCTAGTCCTCGTCTTCGTGACCTCGGCGTCTTCTGCCTCTCCAGGCCGGCCGGACTTTCAGTCACATTCTGTATCTGCGCCCCCGATTGATCGGTTGTGATTAAAGAGCTGTGTTAATTTGTTGGTTTTCTCCAACTCGATGAACTCTACTAAAACCACACGCCTCCGCCTCGTCATCACTGTTACTTATCATTATTAATAATGTCTTCGTTCCACCCCTGTTTGGCGCTTGGAGTCAGATCTTCGACTTTAACGTGTGGTACGGTTTCACAAGTGCACCTGAGTTCCAGAGTCCCAAGTCTTTTTACACCTCGTTAAGAAAGTGAAACTGTTTAAATTCAAACTTCCGACTTAAAACAGATAACGAAGGAACTGCGGCTTACGAATTGGGCCAACAGAGGCTTCGGTCTTTACAGTAGAGCGTCCTTGATCTTAAATTACTGGAGTGGTCTACACAGGGAGCACGTTTATTTATTTTCGAGTCTGGACACAGTCTGTCCAGGGTCTTGTTCTGCCCTAGCTACTCTCCAGCTCACCAGAGCCACGATTGTCGCTGTGCTGCTCGGGCACAGGAGTCCACAGCAGAAGAATGCGCGTTTAAATCACGCGTGGGATGTTTCTGTTCTAAACGTATCTCGAGGTCTGCTACAGTAAAACAAGTATAAGAGGGTTTCCAGATCATCACTGTAAATACGAATGTGTTCCCATTTAACTATGGACGCAAGAAAATTGAATATCTCCCTGCTCAATACGTAGGTCACTTTGAATCTAAATTTACAACTAGGCCGTTATCTGCCTCTTCATTCCTCTGCTTCGATTCTTGCGTTTAAAACCGAAGCTTCGAAGATGCAATTCAATTAAGAAATTCCCCGGCTCTGAGTTGTACAACGGTGAAAATCGTTTGAAACACAGACAATACATTTTATTTTATTGTGGCTCTCTGATGCTCATCCAGACGAGATGAGACTTCACGGAATTTTAAAGGTTAATTTAAAGGGAGTGACTATAACCTTTTTTTTTCAATCGAACATTCTTCCTTTGATGGGATAAATATTGGTGCCGAAAGACCAGGCATTCGACTCCGCATGCGCCTGCGGATCAATGTGTTAGCCCTGCTAGCCATCACACGCATCAATACCTATCAATGTTATTCGCTGGCATCCTGTCGAAGACGATTTTAAACAAACTTTCATCTTCTCATATCAGTAAGTGCGAGAAATACCACAAGTTCAGCTTCGTCCCTTCATAGGGCTAAATTTAACTCTCCAACCTGACTGACGACCGTCCGGTAGACAAGCGTATTACGTGATCTTTGTAAACTGGTACTCAAATCAACGATCACAAAGCTGTATTTCATAGGGTAAGCCTGGTCAATTGCTGGACTAAACACGAAAATGCGCTATCCCTGCTTCGAAACGCGTTAAGTGAAGGAAATAAACCACGGCGGAATAAATAGGAATGAAAACTCAAGAATAAACGAACACGCAATCTTTGTATTGGTGGGATAAAACCAGATGTTCTTCTTGCTCTGAAAGCCTAGGAAAGTGAAGCACGTTGAGGTTTAAATATTTCTGTTGTTTAAAAAGGCCGCTAACGTTTTTTTTTTTTGCTAGATGGTGTATATGGCCGATTCATCGCCCCTCTGTAGTGTGCCGAGGTCAAGCAGGGCGGCAGATAATATAACACAACATGCAGGAAGTTTTGAAAGAGTCTCAAAGTGTTTTCAGGCAGGGTGCAGTATGTAATTCTATTTGTACAACTGAAGTGTCTAATAAGGTAGCGAGCAATATGGAGCTAATGCTCATACAAAACAGAAATCATGTTCATGTCTTTCTACTTTGAACAATGTCGGTTAATAAGTCACATATTTCGTTGCAAAGCCTGCAATTGTAAAAGAAAACTCAGACCAATACATGGAGAATGAGTATGAGATTGCTTGATAAATGTGACTCCTTACGGTTGCGGTTTATAAAAAAAAAAACGTTTATCTGATTCGAGTAGGTCAGTAAAGTGTTCTGAATGCAGAAGACCTGGCAAGTCGAATTTCTAATCGAATAATTGCAGATTTTTTTTTTTACACAAAATGACAGCGCTGTAGCTATTTTCTTCGAATCTCAAATGGTTTGTCTCTCTGTGACCCACTTTCCCCTTTAACATAAATCTTGTGTGATGTTGACTTTGCTTTCTGTATCATTTCATACAATTCATGTCAAGCTAGGGAGCGCACAGTAATACACATCCTCAAGCATTGAAATTCATTTTTGCATTAGTTTAGGATTATCCAACAACAACTTTGTTGCCTGCTACTACAATGAAATCTGTAATTTCTTGAGGTTTTAAAGCTGACAACCAAGCTTTTTCCCCCCGTTATTACAGATGATGTCAAGTTCGGAAACTTTTAGTGAAGTCGCTTCCAGTTAAAGAGAATAACAAGTCCGAGTTGGTCAAATCGTCCATACCGGATGACAGTACTAAGAAACTACACAACAGGTGAGACCCCCTTTCCTCACGAACAGACAGAAGAGCACAAAGAATCGGACAGAGAAAAAGAAACGCCAACTGACGGGCAAACTTCGAGCAAATTTGAGGGCGATCGGTTTCTGTGAAGCGTCTTTCTCCCCACGATGACTTTGAAATTGCACCTCCAGGGGGCAGCGTAACTGAAGGAGCTCGGTACAAGTTCGGTACCTGTAACGGACTGCGTGAACGGAGACCAGTTTAACTCGGGTCGGGCTGTTCCGTGTGCGTCCCTGCTAAAAACGCAACCGACGGTCAGAGGGGTCTCGGAGGTTGAAATCATATTTAACGGGAAGAAAGTCGAGAATCTCGATAGGGTCCAGTCGATTCGCCTGTGAGAAATATTTCCGGGGAGTCACGCTGACAATGGATTAATCACCCTTGCGCTAGAGGCTGTGCAATCGTTCTGCTCACACCCCTTTCCACGGCCACTGATGCTTAATAATATAACTGGTCATATGCAGATTAACAGTGTCAACACGGAGAAGACAGTAAAAACACAGAAATGCGCGATAAATTGTATTTTCTTTTAAATAATAGGAGCAGCACAGATGTAATGGATATGTTGTGGCTGCCTGCAACAAAGGCTAAATTGAGCGTGTAACGATGACGCGCTTTGTTCATTAAGCTTTGCACAAAGTTTTGTTGCCTTCCGTATTGCAATATATATTTTTGTTGCAGCAGAATTGCGTTGTATACGACCTCATGAGCTCACAGACCCTTGTGAAAGCGACAGCTTGAGACATTTGTCTGCTCATTGAATTACGACCAAGAAGTATTCCGGTGTGGCGTACCGGTCACACGGCACTGTAAGCGTTTTCTTAAGGCAGGATTACACTGCGTATGCCAACTCTTTATTGTTGAACTCCTCTATTTCCAGGCGTTCCCAAAGCGCGTTGTGCTCGGGGGCGGTGTTGTGATGCCACGGAGGTCAGTGCTCTCCTGCTCTCGGGTGGTGTTTTGGATTCCTGGAGGATGGGAGCACTGCTGTCTCCGGGGTGCTCCGGCTTTCTCTCACCTTCCTAGGAGAAGCACGGCTTGACTGGTAACAATACTACACACACCCCTCCCTACACACAGGCGTTTGACCCTGATACTGTATTAATAACACCAATAATAATAATACTTGCTTACACTATATAGCTCTTTTCTGGACACTCCACTCAGAGCTCTTTACAGGTCATGGGGATCCCCTTCACCACCACCAGTGTGTTCCCCCACCTGGATGATGCGCCAGTCCGCTCCCCACACACCAGCTCTCGGAGTGATGAAGCAGTTCAGAGACGGGGGTTATTAGGAGGCCATAACTGGTAAAGGCCTAGGGGGGAGGGGGGATTTAACCAGGACACTTGGGTAACAGCCCTACTCATGTCGAGAAATGCCCTGGGATACAGACAGTCAGGACCCCGGTTTTATGTCTTATGCAAAGGACTGGGCCTTTTTTACAGTGTCTCTATGACTATACTGGGGGCTTAGGACCCACACAGACCGCAGGTTGAGAGCCCCCTACTGGTCCCTCTAACACCTCTCCCAGTCGCAGAGTGATACAGCTGCTGTTCTGGAATGCAGGTCGCGCGTGGCGCAAAGTGCAGAAGAGCGCACTAGTGACAAGAGTCCCCAAGAGTAAATGACCGACGCCGGTGTACAGTAGGCGCCGGGACAGCACTGCCTCCTTCACTTCCGTCGGTTAGAGCTCTGTAAAGCGAAGGACTTTATTGGAATTAAGGTTTTAGCTTCGCGTGAAAGGCCGACAGACTCAGAAAATGTCGACAACGGGACAATTCGCGCAGAAACGCGGACAGCGCAGTTTCAATCCAAGCCGACCGCGAATAACAAAGCTTCAGTGACGCGGGTTCAGCTTTCCGCGATGTAGAGTTTCAGGATCGCATCGAATTGTTCTTTCCTGCGACTTCTCTCAGTTTTTTTGGGGGGGTTTAGTACAGATAAAAACAGGATTGTAAAGCTGTAAAATGAAACCAACATTCTTTTTTGAACAGCGGTTTAAAACCGAACTGGGCCTTCGGCTTGAACCTTTGGAAAAACCCCGCTGTATATCCATCACTTTTGGGTCAATTCTTCACGCTTACACAGTCGTCAACAGGTACGAGTTGGACGTTAAATCATTAAACCAATCAAAAGTGGTACCATTAAACAGACAGGGTTGTTCACTTAGTCAAGTCTAGAACTCATTTGGAACAAAAATCAAAAGATCTTTCGCCCCCTCGACGACCAGAGTTAAGTTAATCGAACGAATTGCCTTTCTTCAATAACGTATTCGTCCATAATCCTAAAAATGTTGATCTGGGGCGATGTACAGGTCGAGCCGGGCTGAGGCTCCCAATGGATAAAGTAGATAGCCGCGTGTATAATTTTCTCCCGTGTTTTTTGTTTAGATTTGAGCATCTTTACTGTGATTTGCTGTCATTTTGGTTTTTCACTCCCCTTAACGCAAGGTCCTGTTTTTTTTTTGAAAGGACGTTGGTATTCGATGGCAATATTGATCTTTCCCGCCTCCGTGGCGGAACAACAATGTGTTTTCTCTGCTCCTGGGCGTCAACGCAACAACCGCAAAGGGTGTTTCTGCTTCTTGGCCTCGCGCGTGTACTGGACTGGTCAAAAGTGTTTTTTTTTTCTGACAACAAAGAAAGGACCACCGTATACCACGAAGGGCATTAGGTGCAGCTCCTGTCCACGGATATAAACCTGCCTCCTCTTTGGCGCTGGGTGGATAGTTGCCGTTTAGCCATTGAGCGCGTGGAAGTCAATTGCATGGACTGATAATGGTCGATTGGTCGATTGCACCTGTGACGGAGAGTTTTAACGCCCTGGCCTTGTCTGCCCTCTTGAAGAATGCGTTGACTTTTGTTGCCAGTAAAGGGCAGGGAGGAACCTGCAAGATGCGCTTACAGTAGCCCCACTTTCTGGGACCTGTCATTAAACAAAAATAAATTAAAGTTTGCTGAACCAGAATACAAAGTTGACTTCTTCATCAAAGATGTCGAGATTCGTCAGCCTTTAAAAGTTGCCATCGCTCGAAGCATCAGGGATATTCGTTTATTAAGACATCTGTACCAGATATTAATCAATTCACCGTTTTATTTCAGATTTCAACGAAAGGACCTACCAAAAGTCACGATAGATGTCAAGTTCAATGCTTGGTTTATTTTATTTTTTTTAATCTGTGGATTTTCGTTTACGCAACGCAACGGGCAGGTTTAACTTTTGCTCAGAGGAGAAGAAAAAAAAAGGCATCAACGCCTGCTAGTTTCAGAAATTAAAAATGGCTTATTTTCACCAATAGGAAACTAGCTTTGATGGTTTTGTGTGTGACTTCACTTCCCAATTTTAGAAAAAAAAATTGTACTCATCCGGTATGGTCTCAGCGAATTTGTTGCAATGGTTTGTACCTAACCTTAAAGGGCGCTCGCTTGAAGCCGATGCAACTCAAGCAAAAAGTATTTATTTTTATCAAGCAAAACCCAATTCATGAAATCTAAACACCAGGGCATTTCCAATGGACTGCACAATTAAGGTAGGCGGATATCTCCTCTTCTCTACCTGTTTGCGTTGAGAGTTTCTTAAAATGAATAGAAAACCACCCACTGACTGGCTCGGTTCACACAGATCTTGCAGCGACGAGGCGGCAATGCGAGGTCCCCACTCTTTCCTTCTCGTACAAAATTTCCTCTTCCTTCCCGTTAGTGGTTGTATGTCGGCTCTTTAATAACACAAGAAACCGCCGCTTTAGAGTCAGATAAAAACCCGATGGTCTCCAGACGTGTCGAGGGAAGGAGCCCTGCCTCGTGTGTGTTTTCTCCCGGCGCGCTCGAATCTGCGCGAGGATGGTGAAACCTCGGAGGGTGCGAGGGCGCGCTCCGGGCAGGTGGCTGGGGCGGCAGGCGACGTCGGGACCGGCCTCGCGAGGAGCTTTTCCCCACGTTTTCAGCGGATCGGGGGTCTTCCAGACGGTGGGGGTCCGGCGCGGACTAGGTTTGATCTGAACTTGAATTGTCCCAAACCCCCCCGCCGCCCCCCCCTGTCCCCGAGCGAGAGAGAAAAGTAATAAAACGGTTAGTTCGGACGGCTTAATTTTGATTGATTTTTTTATTTATTTTTACTCATTATTTTGGGCGCCGGCCTCGCTGGCGTGGGCTTTGGTATTTCTGCTGTGACATACTTTTCAGACGAAAAACAAAACATCTCAAGAGACGCCAAAAAGCTGGCAATACGTTTAAGGTTGAATAATACTTTTGGTCATTACTAAACCAAATATCGAATGAATTTCAACTGCCTTATCTCTTTGTTTAAAAGACGACACCCACTAACTTACCCAGATCCTGCTAAATTCATTCGTTTTACTACCTCAAAAGAAATGCAGCTGACAAATAGCGCAACACTCCTGATTCGGCTTTTCTTGCAATGTGCAAAAGAAATGTGTACAGTCTTTTTCCGCAACGACGGATTTGAAATTTAATTTTGGACTGTCCTTTTTTGCGGCGCACAAAGCGGCCGTTGAATAAACTCGGGAGTTGAATAAAAGCGCATCGCTAGAACAGCGATAAACCGTGTACTTGCAGAGTAATTATAGGTCGCTGTGTGGTCGGGTGCAGGCTTTTAAACGAATAATTGTTGAATGCAGTATTTCTAAGAAGCGTCAGACCGACAGACGTGTTCATGGAAAACAAATGCGATTTGCCTAACACCAGCAAAACGAAATCAATAACATCTCTACATTTAAAGTATATATTTTCAGATTTTCTAGGACCTATTAAATACGTAACAGAGGAACGAATGTGCAATAATTCAGATACAGTACGTACATTTTGTTGGGTTCCTTATTATTTACGCCATTTATTGGTTTTCGTTTGCGTGAAGGTGCATTAGTGAATTGTTCCATCATAATGTTTACATTGTAAACGACAAATTGGTCACAATTGCTACGTTTAGGTCTGTAGCTTTAAATCTCGTTAACTGATTATGCCCATCTTGAATTCACGTCGATATTTTTAACGTGATGCTGCCCGTTCAGCCGTGATACCCATATCGCTGTGATTCACTACTAATATAACCGTATGCAGACTCCAATGTGTTAAACACAATCTGGCGTTTAACCAGTATTCATTAACACAAGTTAAAATCAAGGATTATCTCTGCTTAGATACATTGTTTTTAACACATTAGGTTAGTGCTACCGTCCTAAACGATATTACGTTGCAAACAGTAGAAGATAAATATATAATGCTATAACTTGAGAGACAGAATCATTCTCTTTACAGTCGCACAATATAAATTCTTCATTACAAAGGTCACCCTGTAAGTCTTTTTGTTTCCTTAAATATAATTCTATTCAATTCTGCTACTGGAATGTTTTCTAACTGTTGTACGTTCGATTTGTTGTCATGAAAATCCATTGTCCTGCCACGGTATTTATTTTTTGCCACACTGTGTTTTACGACCGCTTCGTTTTTAACGAGTCATTTACCCTGCAAAATCTAACCAAATGCATTTCTCAGAAAGAGCAGCTCTCCTAGAGACCATAACAGGTCTGCAACTTTTACAGAAGGAACAACCAACAACTTGAAACAACTTGAGCCGGCCTGTATTTTGAATGTAGCTCGCCTGACACGGCCAGAGTCATTGCTTTTATTTAAAACCGCCACAGAACAAAAGACGTCAAACTGCTCGCGAACACAGTCTGACTTGTGTAATGTGGGTGAGGTTCTGTGAAGTTCTACAATTGCCCTTAAACGAAACGCAGTTTTTGTCCTACAGAAAGAGCGGGCTTGCTTGTCGCAATACATTTGTTTTTTGGTTTATACCGTTGCTGCCCATTTGATATCGCTATGATTCACCACTAAGATCTTAAACCGTCAGATTTTACTTGTACTTCTGTACTAAGCTTTTGCACCAGGCGAACATGCAACCACACCCTCCCCCCACCACAAGACGGACAGAGAGACGGAGTACTCGCACAAAAAAACTAAGGCCTGAACGAGGTGGGGGACGAGGGAGGAGGGGGGTGTTGGAATTTTATCGGGAGAGCAATGATCAGCACATTTTCTTTTTGTTTCTTTTCCAAGGATGGAAGAGTTATTTAAAGAATAATTGATAGTAACTGGGAGCAAATGCTCTCGTCAGGTGTCTTTATCAAGAGCTCTGCAGGCTTCCTGTCAAAGCCTCAGACTTCCTGACCGAACTTCCGCAACCTCGCGACACCAAAAGCAAACAGCCCCCCCCGAGGCGAAAAAAAAAGAGAGAGAGAGATAGAATCGTTTCCAAACGAAATGTTCAACATAACCGTGTTTTTTTTAAAGCTTGTTGCTTAATTTCTATTTAATTATGTTCCAAAAGTGAGATGCCCGAAAGACTCGAAGAATCCCGCTTTCTATCAAACGCCTTCAGACTCCGAAACCCCCCGCCATTTTTTTAACGGCAGAAAAGAGAGAGCAACGAGCTTCGAGCGCTATTGCTGCAAATAAAATGTTGTGAAAACCGCAAATTTTGCAGCGAGGCGCAGCTGACAGTACCTCTCCTCTCTGCACTTGCAGAATCAGCTCAGCTTTAACCAGAACTTCTGCTTTTTTTTCCTTTCTTTTTTTTTTCAACAACCAACAACTTTGCAGAGGCACACACAAAAAAACTTAACGAGATTTTGTACTCCGATAAGTAGGGCAAGTGCAAAGACACATAGGCCTACTCAAGCAATACTAATGAAAAACATTAAGTATTGATAAATGTTTTTTTTTACTGTTTATCCCTTAATCTATGCGTACAAATCAGTCTAAAAATATACACATGCAACTTATTTTTTCTCAAGCCTGTGTTTCCACAGCCCTTAAGAAGAATGATGCAAATAAGCTACTAAAACAATATGTTGTTTTATGCAGCCAGTGGATGATATTAATGTTTATTCAGCTCAGTTGAATACTTACATGTTGTACAGTATTACTACAGATTATTGCATTGCAAAAACATTATATTTTTGTATATATATCGTTATCCCTTAAACATGAAATGCATTGATAAGCATGGGATAATAACTCTTCAATATCTTTTGGTATCGTTTGTTTTGTGAAGTAGTATTTTGGGTCCTGATCTTACATCCAGAATGTAGTGGCTTCAAGCTTGCAATGTCCAGATTGCTTCAGTCTGCCCCACTTGAATCCCAATCTTTTTGAGCTGTGCAATGTCCGGAGAGCAGACTTGGTTAATACACTGGAATAGTCCAGCAGGGTCTAAGTGCTGGCTGGCATTGTGTATGTGTGCTGTGGATTGTCATATTGCAGATGCTAGTGTGCATATTAATACTTCTGAGCAACTCTCCAGAGTCTACAGAGTGAGTTATGAGTGGTTTAGCAGAGAAGCATCTTATTCTGATCAGGAACATCCACTTCAAATGTAGCGCCTACATTTGGAAATGCTTTCCTTCCACTAAGTGCAGAAAACAGATTCAAACAAATGTGCCCATCAATTCGCTCCATACAGAATATCACTGGATGGTTATGGATTCAGGATTTTGATTTGAGTTTATGCTGGGATCTGTATGCCAGGAATATAGGTGTGTGAGCTGAGAGGAGTAGGTGGTAATCTTTCTCATCTTGTACCTTCTCTCTTAATAATCCACAAACCTCCATAATGACGCCAATTGGCAACTGGGCTTGCTGTCCTCAGCTTATGAAGTTTCTTGCAATGAAAATGCACTGAAGGTGCTCTTTAGTTCTATTCTCTGTGCAAAACGAAGTGTCTCTTCATTTGAGAGTCCATCGTAATTAGCCGCAGCATTTCATAAACCCAGCATTTTCTTTCGAGCATTTCAGCATTGGATTTCGATCTAGGTTTTAATCACTTCGTTTGGATTATCTAATTAAACAGGATTGCAAATAATGCCTTGCATTGTATTTGATTCCATCATAATGACCTGTAATGTACTGTATCAGGTGTTTAGATTTAGCCTGGCACTTGGTCCACAAGGAATGGCTTCTATTGATTAAAGGTTGGAAGGATTTAATCTTTTGTTATTGCTTCTATTTCTAGTGTAAAAAAGGATGTTATGCGAGTATGTAAATTCCTAAAAGGTATTAGGGGGAAAAGTCACCTGTTTGTATTTTATTGATCGTTATTGAAAGAAGAGCACAGGGACATGAGCAGACAGGAGAGCTTTTTTAGGTTTGAAAATGGATCTTAAGGTTCCTTACATCAAGGGGCAGTGGTGTCTGAAATGATCGGCCAAAGCTGTCAAAAACTATCCCTGAGGATCGTTCAAGACAGGATTGGATGTGTGCTTTGGATCAATACATGACTAACAACCTGACAAACCAGAATGGCCAAACAGCTTTCCCTCATCTCCTCAACACATTCTTTGTGTACTTCTGTTGTTCAGCATGTGGTTGTTAACACTCCAGAAGCACACTGTCTTGTGCATTGTCTCATTCAGTTTTGGTAAAACAGGAGAAAGCTAGTATTGAAGGTTCCTAAACTCCATAGTCCATACAGTAGAAGGAACAGGGCACCTATTTCTTGATTTTTCTTGAAAAATGAAAAGCTAGTGCAGAAATAAGCAACCCTGGTCCTCTTGTGCCATTTTCCTGCAGATATTAGAAAGCCCTGATTAAAACCTGAAAATGCCGCTCCACTGGTTTGACTTGCAAGTTCTGATGTGGGGAGGGAGTCCTGCAGGCCTGGAGCAACAGAACTGAAAGCCCGGTGTGCCTGGGTTCTGATCCTCGCACTAGGAACTGAAAGAAGGCCAGAGACCAGAGAGCACAAAGAGAAAGAGCACAGAGTGGGTGTGTAGGGTGTTGTTAGTTCACCCATGTAGTCAGGAGCCAAGCCATTGACCTCAATGGTGAAAAGCAGTACTTGGGATCTTATCCTACAATAAAATCCACAGGGCGGCTCAGCACTTAACATTGCTGTCCCGCAGGGCTGGGGCAATGCCGGACCTGGGGTACTATCTGTGTGGAGTTGG